CCCTGATATGAATCCTATTGAGAAGTGCTGGAGGAGAATAAAACAAGCTCTCCATAGGCGCCTAAGGCAGCCAACAACTGAGGTTCAAATGGTTGTAGCAGTATTAGAAGAATGGGACAAAATTCCTCAGGAATGGATCAATGGGCTTATTGAGCAGCAGGACTTCTGGGTACACGACTTAATTAAGCGATGTGGCTGGTCTACAGCTAATTAATTAATAAAATTCATGATTCTGATGCCCTGAACGCACGGACTTTTGTCCCCATGTTCGTTAGTTGCCGAGGAGAGACTCTTCGACAACTGTCACAATGTACAGTATTCCAGCGATATTGTATGGCGTTGCCACTATACCAAGTTTTGTAGACCAATAAAACTAATTCTGCAATGTGTGGTTGTAATATCAAACGTCCAACCTGGTGGGTTGGTCTCTAATAAAGGAACGTCTTAGACATCTATTGGATTCCACACTTGTAGCCAAGCCTACCAGTCAGTCACTCAATCAGCAAGAAACTCCCTCACAACCTTGAGATATTCCTCCATCTCCTCTAGCTGAGGCAAATGACTCGATTCCGCGAACCGAACCCACTTCACTTTCTCGATCCCCCTGAAAAACGGCTCCACGACCTCATCCTGCGCTTCGTCATACTTCCCGTTAATTAGAAGAGTAGGAACTTTGATCTTATGCACTTCATCTACTACAGACCATTCTTTCAGCGTGCCTGTGATGTGGAACTCGTTTGGTCCGTTCCTATCATCTCATCAGTTTCTTATCGGGAGAAGGGGAGAGCAACCTTACATTACATTATAAACCGTACTATCCTCCTTCAACTGGCCGAAGCATCCAAGAGGTCTTGAGGAAATGGAACAATGCGACAAACGTGTCTCTCATAAAAGACCTGTGACGCAGCCTCGTACTCCGCACTATCTGTCGTTCCGTCTTTTTCGTGCTTGCTGAGCGTATCTTGGACATCTTGCGGGAGCTGGGAGCGCAGTTTTAGAGCAGCGGTGATCCAGAGCGGCATGGAGGCGGGGGAGTCGGCGATGATGAGTTTGTGGAGGCCTGGGGGTTGGGAGATGCCGTGGAGGGAGGCGAGCATGCCGCCCCAGGAGTTACCGAGGAGGGAGTAGGTGGTGATTTTGAGGTGCGAGAGCAGGTTGGTGATTTCGGAAAGGAAGAGTTGCGGTGTCCAGAAGGCGGCTCCTGCAGTGCCGGTCAGGTGTGGGAGATGGGTTGAGAGGCCACAGCCGAGTTGATCGTAGAATATTACTGGGATGGAGTTCTGGTTTAGGTGGCGGATGGGGAGGAGGCTGTTCAATAGGTTAGAGTAATGTTTAAAAGTTCGGGAAGGAAAGGGAGATTGTAAAGGTTCTTAAGTGCTAAGATGGAAGGGTAGTTCGAGACTGGGCTTTGTGTGGTGTTCGCTGGGGTAATAGTTGTAAACGAGGATGAGAACAAGCCTTACTAGTTATGTGGAACGCCTGGACCGCCATGAAGGACGATGAGAGGTCGAACACCGGATGGAGAGGGGAAGGTGCCAAAGATTTTGTAGTGCTTGGTCTTGTTAGTGGCTTTCTATGGAAAAAGGAAGTACAGATAGGGTGATTCCACATAGAATTCGTCAGATCTGATTGTTTGTTTGACTGTTATGCTGGAATTTATAGCAGACATCTCATCAAGGTGAGTTGAAAGTGGGGTATGACATCCTAACACAGGAGTCGCTGAGAATTGATATACTAATTTCATACCCTGCTCTGTGATTGTCCGTACAACTGTAATACATTGCAAAATAACGCGCAAGTACCTAGAGTGGCTGAATATGAATATGACAATTGAAAAATCTCTTACAGTCTTGCAGGGCTGGCCGGCTCCTTCAACGTGGAAATCGGCTTCGCCTTCTGTGAGCGAAATTTCGGATGACATTGTGATGCATTAAATTCGAATAATTTTGAAGACAATGTAAGTTGTTGAAGATATGAAAATGATAGCTCGAAATAGCAAAGTACAATGACGCCTTGAAAACTCATGACATGACCTCGAACCCCGCCACACGCCCACCTTCCTGAACCAGCATACTTCCGATGAGACGATTGTCGTCTGAAGTCGAGGACTACTCAGTACAGGCAAAATATCATCGAAATGAGGGAAAATGCACGACGACTTTTGGAAGATTCGCTCATATCAATTGATATGTCCCATTAACTACCTTCTCGTTGAGATTTATGAATAAATGATCTGGGGGTGGCTGTTTCGTCGATGTACCAACCATAGTCGTACAATGTACCTGGCCCCTGACTTAGCGACAACTGTTTCTTAAAATATACTCGTGATTTGCAGGATCTCATGCGCGCTGCGTTGCAGGCGTAAAATTGCGATCTGCTGACAGTGCCTTTGATTGTCCGTCCACAAATATAATGCGTGGCGAAGCCGGAAAGGACGAGACCTTTGCATCAGGTGCTGTGAGTCTGGCCCAACGGCCGAGTCCTTCTTGCTTATTCCGAAAATTTTCAGATGGCGAGAAGGAGCATTCAGCAGGATTTTGGGTGACGGAATGATCATGAACAGGACGGACATTGAACAAACATTGTCATTGTGTTATTACATGCAGAGAGAATTTAGAATTCAATCACCTGTAAGACTCTGGACATTAAGGTTATAAACTTTTGGCGGTGGTGATAGAGCGACCCCGGCTGTCTCCTTATCTTATCGGCGCCGGAGTAGCGTTCGAGGCATCCTAAAAGGCCCCTACCATGTTCAGACCAAATTCACCTTCCTGGCGCTGACCAAGAACCAACCACGCATACAGTATAAAGAATCTCCCTCCCGGCTCACGGTCTTTCTCCCAACATCCAACTTTAACAACTTCTCAAAGACCGTCCGCGACTCGTTCCTTCACGTCAAGGCTGCTCACGAGTCATTCCACCCTACTTAAATCACCCTCGACTATCGAATTGACGAACGGATCGACTCCAAACACACATTCCACGAATCTCGAGACATTCACCACCAGTCTTTACCATTTACAAGTCCGCAAGCAAGTCGGTCTTTGAACAGACAGTCGCAAGAATGGCTTCCGTCGCTCGTCCACGTCTCATGAACGAATTCAAGTCGCTGGACAAGGAGAAATGGGTCAACGTCGAGGTACGCGGAGATCATGAAACATCAAGACTTGCGCTCACTGTATGAACAGCTTCGAGATGGAGGCCTCTTCAAATGGGATATTGGCTTGATCGTCATCAATCCGGATAGTGTCTTCAATGGTGCCTACTTTAAGGCAAGTCTCACGAGCCGCCCACAATTAGCCGTACTGACAATGGTGTCATAGTGTGAAATGACCTTCACCGACAAGTATCCCTTCTCTCCACCAACCTTCAAATTTATCCGACCGATTTTCCACCCAAATATCTACACAGATGGCAAGGTCTGCATCTCCATTTTGCACGCTCCTGGGGAGGATGAGCAATCCGGCGAGTTGGCTAGCGAGCGTTGGACCTCAGTACAAAGCGTTGAGACCGTCCTCCGATCTATCCTCCTCCTTCTAGACGATCCCGAGATCTCCTCTCCTGCCAACGTCGATGCTGGTATCACATATCGTGACGCTCGAGAAGTTTACGATGCAAAGGCGAAGGAATCAGTCAAGGAGTCGTTGCAGGACGTACCAAAGGATTTTGCTATGCCAACCACTCTCGAGGAGGCACCACCAGCCAAGATCCAAGAGGACGATGACTTCTGGAATGAGAGTGGAGATGAGGACGATTTTGGAGCCAGTGATAGCTCGGGAGAGGATGCTATGGATGAAGACGAGGAGGATGAAGAGGAGCCAGAAGAGGACGAAGAGATGGAAGAGGAAGAATGAGGAGCAACAACAACTTTTGAGAGATGACAACATCCATGCATTGTACAAGGCTTGGTTCCTGCATTGTTTGGGGGGGCAGCTCATCATTGATTTCCTTTCCTTTTATTACTGCATAGCGTAGCGTGGTCCGGTTGGGTCTCCCAGCGGCGTAACGGATCATCGGCAATGGCATTTGACTTCGGCGTATTCAAATGCGGATCAGCTCAGCTCTTGTATCTAGTTCTGGCGCAAGGGCTGGGATATCAAAGGGTACAGGTTGCGATGGTGTTAATATGGGGGAAAGTACCAAATTCACAGTATAGAAGCAGGCAAATGACATTTCACTTTGAACATGATTTGTATGTGCAACTCTGATCCTCAAATTGAGTGTGAACTCTGCCCTAGAACATACTGTAAGATCTGGGATAGAAAATAATATTATCCCAAAGCTTGCGGGGCAATGTAAGTAGGAAAGCAGATTCTTCGAGACGTCGTACTTCAGGTCATTGTTACGCCATTTCATCCCTCAAATCTTAATTCACAACTGACAGCTCACTAATATTGACCCACAAAGTCCGGAACAATGTTATCTTATATTCCAATTTCTATGGTAAACTGTTGTCGTTGGAAGCTGAATCTCTGGTATCGAGATGACGCACGTGAAGAAAGCGGGATGTTGACAAGGGTCTCGTGCGGCCGTTCGTGAAGCTCTGCTCTAGAAAGCTCATCTCCACCCTTCGGCCTCGTTGAATTTCATTGCTCACAACGTGCCAAATTTTAAGAAACGAAGACCTGTTCAAGAGATACTACAAATCATTCGCTCTTCCTAATGTTCCGCAAGAAATCATAGTGATCGCATAATCTAGAGCAGCCAACGCTCAAGTCGCCCGAGAGAGGTGCTTACGACGATGGCAGCTCATTTGCAACCCAACAACGAGCAGATTGAAAACGTGGTCAACTTGACAGGTGTATCTCGTGAAGAGGCGATACAAAGACTCAAGGTAGCTTCTACGGCCTGTCGAGGTGGCCATCCACTGATTTGTGCAGGGCAACAACAATAATGTCGAGCAAGCTATTGGCGAGTTCTTCGATTCTGATGGCAGCTCCAACAAAGTAAGCACAAGATCTGCGAAGGAGAGTGGAGGAAGCTGATGTTCTCAGTATCGATGGGATGAGGCCGCATTCAATAACGATCAAGATGGCATACCGAGCAATCATGGCATAGGTAAGAGTTTCCCTTGTCGGTTTGTTCCCTCCATATGCTGAACATCTTCCACAGCATTCGATATCCACGCCCCAGATGATCCAGGACCGTACGGACCACGCTTCGATGGCGCTGGAGCTCCTTCCCGACCTCCTTCTCGGACGAGCAACAATAAATCTCCTCTTAGTAAGATCATAGACTTAACAGTGGAACATGCAGCTGGTACGTCTACTTTTTGCTGCCTCTTGCTACATCGCTAACATATATATCTAGCTGATCCTAGCATGTCCATAGGTTTTGACCACGATTCAGAATTACAACAAGCACTCGCAGCTTCAAGGGCTGAAGCTGGTATGTCACCGCAGGAGACTGGAGTCACAGGCACAGATCAAGTTTATTTCGGTCCAGCAACTCGCCCGCAGAATGAATACGATTCAGGACAATGGGGTCTGGTTCCGTTGGGGAAGTCTGCAATTCAAGACGAATTTTTGGATCCGGAACCAGCTCAACGAGTACGAGCAGCGGATGCTCCAGCCTTCCTCAAACCGAGCAAGAATCACCGTCTTGGGGCCCTCATTACGATATACCACGAGATTCCAGTCACACGGAATTTGTTTATGAATGCACAGGACACTGATATTCACTTCGGGTATGACAAAGAGTGGTGGACTGGCAAACAGATTGAGCTCCCGAACTTGTCTCCAGAAGACGAGCAGACGCACTTCACTGTGGACAGAGAGTTTCAGCGTCTGATGGCTTTCCTTGACAAGACCGAACGAAGTTATGGTTCTGTGGAAGCTTTGGCCAATCATCCAGAGGTAGTGAGAGCCCATCGCAGGAAGAGCGACCAGAGTATAGAAGCTGCCGTCCTGGATTCGTGGCGCCGCAAATTCGACCCCAACAAGTTGGCACTGACTCGACAAATCTTCAGTACAGGCGTGGACTCCGAGCGAGAGGAGAATGCACAAGATTTTGCAATTTTGGAGCTTATTCTTCCTATGACAGGTTCCATGCAAGAAACATTCTATGACATGGCTGACGAGATCTTGTGGCCAAATTTTGGACCGACGGATATCTCGGACAGTCCTTACTTGTCCCGTATTGCAGAGGTCATAGCTTTCCAAGTTGAGGGATCAGATGACCGCAAGCGTGTGGAAATCCCCCTAGTGTGGTATCCAGATCGCTATCTGAAGCCTGCAAGACAAGCAGCACTGGATATGCGACTACATAAGCGTGAAGTGCAGGAAGAACTTGAGCGAATAGACAAGCTGGAAGACCAATTAACTCATATACCTTTGCGAACAGGGAAAATTGTCAAGGTACAAGATCTCTTGAACGCTTCCCTGAAGCATGACAATTACGAGGTCAAGAGAGATGTCTCGGAGCTCGACGATGATATGCTATCTGAGAGACGTCCAAGTCCGGCGGCTACGAAACTCTCTTCGGAGCTCAGGAAATTGGTCGCAAGCATCGATAAGAAATTAATAGGTAAAGCGCCTGTAATCTCACGAGTGGCTTTTGCTAATCGACCCAGCCCTTAACGAGGAGAAAGAGAAGGCTCGACAAACCTTCCGTGAATTGTCCAAGCTCTACACTGAGCCAACATCGGAACCAGATAGCCCGAAGCTTCACAAATATACACTGCGTGGCGTAAGCACCAGCATGAATACGATGTTCATCTGTCGCCGAGCGGAACCAGATCTGATCGATATGGATGTTGATGGTGACGAACCATCGGGTCCAAAGGACCAATGGTGGATGATCAACTATGCAAATGAAGGATATAATCCTGTGACTGTTGAAGTAAGTGAAGCCTACCTTGTCTAATGTTTTGATATTAAGGATTCCAGAAAACGACCACGGAAAGGGTCTTGGAAGAGGCAAGATACGAGACCTCAAACACGTTGCTGGTATATGCTAGCGAAAAGGCAATGAACCATCCGATACAAGCTCTACCTAAAGCTCTTGAAGTACGTATGATATGGTGTTGCATTTGGCACAATTAACAAAATTATAGTCTTTCGTCAAATGGGAAAATACCAACTTCAAGTCCGAATTTAGGACCGTTGAGGATATCCAGACGGACACACAGACTATCATAGATGATTCTCAACCGGTTGGCCTATCCTCTCCCGGCAAAAGGAAATTCCATGAGAGCTCATTGTATAACCAGGACTATGGTGTGAAAATCTCCGAACGAGAAGTTCGAACCTCCGACGGATCCCCTGATTGGGACGCAGGCCCATCCAATGATAGCTTTGCGCCAAATGGAAAACAAGAGGTAATTATGGGAATCGATCCGTCTTTACTCACAAAGGACCACAATGACCACGAGGCGGGACAAGAAATGCAGGAGCGTAGCAGCATGCCAATGCTATCTGGTCGCCCACTAACCAAGGAGAAGGCGAGTACCATCGATAGCATGGATCTCGATCAAGTTGTGGAGGACATGAATGTCAAGGAAGAGAGTGCCGCGGTCAAGCACGTTGGATTTGTTGAATGAATGGAGAGAACTAAGTAATGTGTATGCTTAAATGACTTGAATACCCATCGACGATGCATTAATGGATGCTTAATACTTATTAAATACTCGAGTGAATGAAAATTAGGTTTTGGGGACTCGATACCCCTTGATCGCAACCTTTGTACGCTCCTCCCCTCGCTTGCTCAGGGGTAAATCGAGGTTTGAGCGGATATATCTCCTCCAACCCTGGCTGTTTCATCTAATCTTTCCATCAAATGCGTCATCGGAATGAGATCGACCTTGTTTGTGGCTTAATCTGAATGCGATACTTGGGATCCCAGATCTGATTGTGTAAATTGTATTTTGGCAGGGGTGTGGGGTCGAAGCTTCTGCCTACCTGCGCAGACCACAACGTCTTAGGCACTGTACACGCCTTAGAGTATGATCTTGTCCGTCCTTGGATGGACATCTAATATTGTTCACGATTAAAAATTGAACGTTAAGCAGATCTTTTGTTCATTCATTTGTTCAATAGAAGGTTCGAGAACCATGCTTTTCCAACCCCACTGCACGTCACAGACCGCTGGTTTGCCGATGGCGGGGAACATTTCGACAAACTTGATCAACGAGCAGGGCACGCAAGCCGGATTCTCGTCCTGTATGATATGATGATCCTCTCTCACTCAAAGAAAATAAACATAAAGCCCAATTCTTCCGACAGCAGACATCCGAGTCATTGGTCAATTGAATATTTTCTTTAAAAACAACGAACGTTTGCAGCAGCACATCCGCACACGATCAGCTGTTCGGATTCCCTCCCTGCTCGGGCACCAACGATCCACCACCAAGCTTCGAGGCTCTTCTACAACTCCATAGCCTCATTCCTCTTCCTGGTTCTTCTTCAACACACCCACTCTTTACATCCTCGAGGCTTTAAGAGTCTGCCTTTGCTTCGGAACGCTCATTATTCACGGCAACTTCGAACAAAGACTTGATCTCACGGATTCTGCGACTTTACGTCTGATACAACAACAACAACATCAATCATGGTAGCAGAAACCAAACTATACAACAGTCTGGGCATCCAACCCGACGCTTCTCAAGATGAAATCAAGAAAGCTTACAGGTACGCACCACTCTTCCCATCCCACCTCCTTCATCGCAAATGAATCACAAGCCTAACCATCTCTCACCGTGTAGGAAAATGGCCCTAAAGCACCACCCAGACAAGAACAAAGATAACCCGGCCTCGGCAGAGAAATTCAAGGAGGTATCGCAGGCCTACGAGATCCTCTCGGACCCCGAGAAACGAAAGACGTACGATCAGTATGGCCTCGAGTTCATGCTCCGCGGCGGCCCGCCCCCGCCCGAACCTGGCGCGGGCGGAAATCCTTACGCCGGCGCAGCGGGCGGTATGCCTTCTGGGTTTAATTTTGGGAATATGCCAGGTGGCGCGGGAGGTGGTAGGGATTTTCACTACGAGTTTAGCACGGGCGGCCCTGGTGGTGGAGGATTCTCGTTCAGTAACCCGGAGAGTATATTCTCTGAGTTCTTGCGGGGCCAGACGGGCGGTATGGGCGGTGGTGCGGATGGGTTTGAGGATCTATTTGGCAGTGGGGGATCGAGGAGGAGTAGTGGGAGGAGTAGGACTGCGTTTGCGGGTGCGGAACCGGCTGGTGTGAGGAGGGCTCAGACGCCTGAGGTCACGACTGTGGAGCGACCGCTGCCGTTGACGCTGGAGGAGCTATTTAAGGGGACGCATAAGAAAATGAAGATCAAGCGGAAGGCGTTCGATGAGGTTACGGGGAAGAGGACGACACAGGATAAGGTGCTGGAAATGGATATCAAGCCTGGACTTAAGAAGGGCTCCAAGATCAAGTTCAAGGGTGTTGGTGATCAAGAAGAAGGCGGTCAGCAAGATCTCCATTTCGTAGTCGAAGAGGTAAGTTCATTCATCCCTTTCCAAAAACCCCTTGAAATACTGTGCTAATTCTTCAAAACAGAAAAAACACCCTCTCTTCACCCGCGATGGAGACGACATCCACCACACCATCGACCTCGAACTCAAAGAAGCCCTCACAGGCTGGAAACGAACCGTAACAACCATCGACGGCAAACAAATCAACATCGAGAAAGCCGGCCCCACACAACCGGGCAGCAAAGACAGCTACCCTAACCTCGGCATGCCGTTGAGCAAGAAACCAGACACCAGGGGCAATTTCGTCATTACTTATAATGTGAAATTCCCCATTAGCTTGACGCCAGCGCAGAAGACGAAGTTGAAGGAGATTTTGTAGAGCGGTGAGAGAAGGGAGAGCGACGATATCATGGACTTTGCATTGCTTTGACGTTTGGCTTTTTTTGCAACTGGTGTTTAAGGCGAAAAATGGGGTGTAGTATGAGAATGGATGGGTTTGGGATGGGTCAGTTTTCAGAATGCATGATGAAATGAGAGAGGAGATCTTCTCGCGTAGATGCTTTTTTTGCAACACAATGGTACATACCTTTTTCTCTTTCTTCTGAAGTATTGATAGAATTAATATGATTCTTCTCTCCACTTGCTTGAACTTCTAAGATTTGTGAATGTCCCAAATATGAAGTATTCGGGTTGGATGTGTGATATGAGAATGGAGATTTTAAGACAGTGAGTAATTATCCCGGGAACAGAGTTTTGAACGAATTAGAAGTTTGAGAACATTTCAGGATGTGGGGTGAGAAAACTGTGGTTTTAAGTCTCAGACATTAGAGAGACTGATAATGTGCTCTGCCTCTCAAGATTCCGTACTCATGATCCTAACTCAATCTTCTACCCTCCCAAGCGCCAGACTATCAATACATCCCAACCCCCTCTATCAACACATCCATCCTACAAAGCCCCCCCAACCATGCCCACAATCCACATCGCGACCCTAACCCTCCAACTAACCCTCCTCTCCACCTTCAAAAAATCATCCATCCCAACCACTCCCGCAAACTCCTGCAACCCATCCCTCTCCTCCCTCAACCTGTTTTTCAACCCCTCATCCCCCGTAACAATCACCACCCCCGTCTCCAAATCCAGTCCATAGCTTCTTTTCGTATAATTACTACTCCCCACCACACTTAAACTCGGGTTCTCCTCTCCGTTCACCGAAACCCAGAGTCCCTTGGCGTGGTACGTCCACCCTTCCTTCTCACCTACTGTTCCTCTGCGCCATTCTTTCAGCACGATATCATGATCCCGAGAAGAGGCGTGCACGCGCTCGAGGAATCGTCGGGATAGCAATGTGTACGCGGCGGGCAGGAGGCCCGAGACGCCTTTGGAGCCGTAGAAACCGTTTGCGTAAGGTGAAGCGGTTATCACGGTGTTGGTGCGGGAGGAGGTGGAGAGGAGGAGGGCGGTGAGAGAGGGGTCTGGGTTGAAGTAGCCGGCGGTGAACGTCCAGGAGGAGGAGGCGTAGGAGGGGTGAGAGAGGGTGGTTAGGATGCGGGTTAGGGAGGGGAGTTCGGTGGATGTGTCGGGGGAGAGGAGGGGGGTTAGTTGGGAGATGGGGTAGATTGTTGTGTTGGTATTTGATACAGCGGTAGAATGCGGTGTGCTGGTTGGGCGCAGAAGGGGCGTGAGGAGGGTGGTTGAGGCGGTTATGTAGGCGGTAGGAGATGTTAGTGGTGAGGGGGCGAGGTTTGAGGTTGGCCATTCGAGAGTGAAGCCAGCTGGTTCTTGGGCAGATGGAGTGACCAAGAAGCTGAGGTTTGAAACTGCATGGTGGAGTTTGGAGAAGTAGTCTGTGATCTCTTTGGATGAGAAGACATGGTATCTATCCTGGCGATTTGTGAAATAATCACTGGAAAGATTGGCTCTATTTAAGGTCAGTACTGAACGATCAATTGGCTAAGACCACATACCCCGAGATTATTATCTCGTCATCCATCCCGTACAACTTCATATGTTGCAAACCCCATCCCTCATTGATCCTCTTAGGAATATACTTCTTTCGCAATCCCGTCAAATTTGGCGTATGATACATTCGAATCTCAACTCTATCCGCCCCAAACTCCGAGACAAGGGGAGCAAGCAAAGAAGCACATGATGGGTCCGGAGACTCTCTCGTTCCTCTCAAAGCATCCGTCAAGATACTAAGCTTTAACTTTGGCTTAGCCCTGAGAGCTTGTTGCAACGTAGCAATCTAAACACTATCAACGAAAAAGCTGGCAATTGGAAATGCGTATAAATTACTAATTCATGTTCTGTTTTCCCTATGTACAAGGTAGATAGAAAGATCCTTTTCTCGGCGCCCAATATCTTGCTCTATTCCCATCAGCGAATTGCCTCCCATATGTTGAAACTTGTCCCGACCTTCAGCGTCTCGTAGAATTCCGACGGCGTACGCAACACGTGTATTTGTGACCCTTGGACTTCGAATTTCGGTGCTATCTTATCCAATTCATTCGTAAAAGCTCCAAGCATCGACGCCGGTGAAGAGCTGGGGGGAGCTGTGACTGAGGATGCAGAAGTCGAGTATCTGCGAGGTTTAGCTTGCAGTAGTCGCATTCGATAGACCGGTAGTCTTCGCGTCGCAGAACATCGTATAGTACTCCTGACTATCATCTCCGCTTTCCTAAGATTTTAACGAACGTGAAGGTTGTGCTTAAGAGGTTGGGGTGATTTCAAGGCCTTTTGGAGGTCGCTGAGGCTAGCCATTTTCGGCTGAGCCGAGCCCGCCTTCAACATCGTGAAGGACGACTGACTTAGACCTCAGAAGCAATTGAACATCCGACAAGATGTCAACGATCCTGAGAACGTTGCGCAACCTGTATAGAGTTGGCCTTAGGGTATGTATGCTATTAATTGATTGCATGAGCTTGCTAACGTTGAGAATTATAGGATGCCGCTCATCAGATGCATGTATGTTCACCACGCCCCTCAACGACCGACAACAGAACAGCTACTGATCTGCCGATCCGTGTTATAGTACCAAGGTATACCTGCATCTTGAAATCTAGGAAGAGAAACAGCAGCTTACAGACTCTGCAGGTGATACCAAGGCCGGTACATTGATTGGAAAGGATCGCTATGGAAACAAATACTTCGAGAATCTAGAGGAAGAGCTGCCACGTATGATCCTCGAACCTCCGAATACAAACTGATGCTCATGAAATTCCAGTTCGCACAAGATGGGTAGACTACAAGGACGCTGAGCTCGACCCGTAAGACGCCCACCCACCCTCTAGAACCACTTCTAACAGCTATGCTACAGATCACACATCGAGCCCGGATGGCACGCCTGGATCTCATACATGGTCGACAAGCCACCTACCCAAGACCCTATTCTCCAGACTCAAGTTCGACCATGGGAATTGCCAGACCACAGACCGAATTTCACTGCCAGTCGTGGTGCCTTCAAGACATACTCTACGTGAGGAATTCTGACTCTTCGTGGCGGGAATTACTGCTAATATTGGACATAGTGTTAAGCCAAAGCTCACGGCTTGGAATACTACTGCGGAGCCGAGAACATAGATGATGAGTTTGGGTTAGAGAGGGATTGTACATACGAGATGAGCTTTCAATGGAATCGATTATTCCGTGCTATGCTTCGGCGCTTTTGACAAGTAATCTCTCTCCAAAGTGATTTTGCCTTGATATGACATAGCGGACTATTACACGACCCATCAGTACAAGCAATGTCCCGATGTTGCTGAGATGTTCGAATTGAGATTCATTATCGTGCGGCTACTGATGGCATTTAGGACATTGGATTCTTCGATAAAGTCATTCCACACTGTGCCATTAAATCATGCTGAGGTTCCAGCATCAGGTCCAGGAAAGTAGAACGAGATTATATACAAATCACAACTGACAAAGCACATGATTGGAGATTTTCATTTCATGTCTCTACCTATTTGTTTAATGCACCACCTTACCATCTCCCCGGGTATTCCAACACCTCGCACCCCACTCCAGATCCCATAATAACATCAACAAATACACCAATCATGCACCCAAGTCGTAATAAATGCACTTTCCAGTGCGAAAATTATAGACAAACGCATTCCTCGTGGTATCCTTGTTTTGATTGGCCAGTGTATTCATCAAGTCATGAATCTCGCCGATATATCTCCGCTCTGTTGTAGGAACAGCATGAGTAACTTGTCTCCAGCCTTCAGGATCAGAAAGCTTTGTTGCGCGGATTAACTCCATGACCTGATCTGTAGTCTCGATCGCAGCAATGGGGCCGTCGAGGAACTCGTGAACTACAGAAGCAGCTCGAGCTTGTGCTTGCTCGACAATGTTGCGTCTGTTGGATTTCTTGCTCTTGGTTCCCGCAACGAGAACTCGGACGTCTTGCTCATGTTCCGCAGCAGACGTATCTTGTTGGCTACTACCCCGCTGAAGACGTGCTCGCTGATGAGTGCCATTTCTTTGGTCTCTATCGCGGATCTCGCTCTTGAGCCAAGCCAGTAGCTGGTGGGAAGGGATATCTGCATCGTCAACATCTTTACGATCCATGCTCTTGACCTTCAACACAGAGTCTTGCTTGATAATGACAATCCATGAATGGTGATCGTTCCGATATTGCGAAAGCAAGTCTTCCGGTGACCGTGAATCTCGTGCCAACTCTGCGCTGATTTCGTTGTTCCAAAGAGTTTGAACGATTTCAACACCAGAAGTCCGGAGAATGGTAGCATCGTGGCTCGCAACAAGTACATCACACTACAGAGTCAGAATACAGCTATGAGGGAGTGGTGGAAGGAAACTTACCCGCTTCGTGGTCCAAATTCCGTTCACTTCCTCCTCTGGCTTCTTCAAAAATCCCTTGGCGCTTGCTTTAGGCAATCGTGCCATCTTCTCCCACGCCAAGTTAAATCCTACAGCATGTCTCGGTTCAGAGTGAGTTCCTGACTTATAGCGGTGTTCTCGAATTAGAGAGTCGTAGCGCCCACCGGCTGCAAAAACGTCCTTTACCTTTCGGTCAAACAGACAGGAGAATATGACGCCACCTTTGCAGAACTTCTCATTCAAGCTTCCGAGTGGTGTCACGTAGATCTTGCTTCGTACTCCGAAACGCTTTGTATATTCAATTACATCTCGAAGATGCGCAATAGTTGAGGATGCTCGTTGAAAGGTATCGCCGCCCTCAAAAAGTGTCTTGAGTTTGGTAAATGCCTTATTTGGAGTATCTATGAGCAATATCAGTCCCATAATTCTGAAGCATCAATATTCACACTTACCACGAAAGTCAAAGCGCTGTAGGTCGTCAACACTGGGTGCGGAAACTCCAATCAGTGGCGAACGAAGTTCTGTTCGAATTTTCGCCCATGTCCAAGATTGAACGTTCAGCTTACTGAGGGTGTCTGCAACAGCTTGACGAATAGTTGGCTCAATCCTGCAGAAATCAAAGACCAGGTCTAGAAGGTCAGAATGATTGACATGAAAGCACATCTGTGTAGTTGTCAAAGCTGGAAAGTTTCCAACAATCTCGTCCAGAACCTTTATTACCTCGGCTTCTTTCAAAGCAAGATCCAAAGTGTCAGTAGACACAATATCAAAGTCGACCTCGCCGAAGGTTTGTGGTTGACCTCCAGAGTCTCGATCTCGGAAAACTCGGCCGAATGCGAACGATCGTTCAACTGCAGGTTCATGTTTCGCAATAGCTCTCGCAAAGGGTAATGTAAGATCATAGGGCAACTGTAATATTGCACCTCTCTCGTCAAGAAGTTGGACAGCATTTGGACCATAGTGATCGGACCGTGGAAACAAGATTGTACGTGGAGTCTCTACGGCTCCGTGGTGGCGAAAGATTGATACCAACTTCTGCTTGACGATACTTTGGAGCAAGAGATCGTTTGCGGTCGGATGTTGAGCACCCATTTCCCATGCATAGTCTTTAGCTTGACTACTTGGAAGTGAGAATAAAGCCTTCATCATTTTGTCGTAGTATGGAGACTTTGCGTCCGTGAGACCAATTAAGGCTTGTCGGATAGTTTCGCTTTCCATCTGCACAGGTAGCTTTCCACTTTTCAGTAGTTCTGAACTCGATGGTCGGTTCTTGGCATTATGATTCATAAGAGATAGCATAATGTCTGCTTGAATCGGCTTTTCAGAAACCTTGAACTCGTTTGGGAAAGTCGGATTCTTGTGTCGGAGGCTTTCACCAACAATAGCCCTGTCCATACCTGGAATTAGAGGTCTAAAGCACATTTCGAAGAATATGATACCCAAGGAATACATGTCCACTTTACTCGTGTAGGTGCCAGCGACAGTTGACTTGACTTCCGGCGCTACGTAGAACGCGGTGCCAATGCTTCGTGTCATGTCTCCACTGATATGGGCCGCAGCTGATGATGCTTTATCAGCCATGGTATATTGTCCACTTGTCGCCAATCCAAAGTCACCAATCTTCACGTTCGATGCGGCGTCGATGAAAACATTCTCTGGTTTAAGATCTCGGTGTACAACATTCAGTCCGTGGATATGAGCCAAGCCTTCGAGTATTTGCCGGAAGAGGCGCCATATTTCATCGCTATCCTTGTATAGACCTCGCTTAATAAGATCACGAAGTGTCTGCTTCTCGCAGTACTCCATAGAGATGTACAAAATAGTTTTGTAAGGTCGCAGGTAGCGCGAATTTGATCTAGTGCGCTTTTGGACCTGAGCTGGTCAGCATGAATAATCAGAAGGTTGTAGAAGTGGAAGAAGATATGAAACAACAGGAACCTGAGTCGATGTTTTGGTTCGTGACAAGAAAAGGAATTTCCACGTACTAGACCTCGTTTCACAGGACTTGTTATTCCATTATGAGCCGGTTCGCCAAGACTGCTCGTATCGTCCAATTCATCGTCTGATTCTTCATCGTCCTCATCGACTTCTTCATCAGAATCATAGCCAAACTCGATTTGTGGGCCAAGAGATGACATAAAATCAAGGCCTCTTGAAGAGGCTCCAACATCGACATCTGAGTCGTGGCCTGGCGATAATTCACTGACAGAATCTTCTACTGTGCCTACTTCAGTACTTGTATTGTCTTCGTCGTTTTCAGAGCCGTCAAAAACTTCTTCGGTCCAGGTATTGTAGTACCCTATTCACGGCTCGTTAGCTGAACTACTTCACATAAGTGGTGATATCCAGTAGACATGGCAGGAAAAACAAACAAAAACAAATACAAAATGTGTCCGAAACTATCTCAAATTCTCGCCAAAATATGACACATCGTTCTAAGAGAAACTTGAATCACTTACGAACAACAGCCGGATGGGCGAGTTGCGACAACAAGCGAACCTCCTTCAGTACCTCTGTCAGAGAAGCAGATGATTTTTGAGTGATCTTCTTGATAGCATAGATCTGTCCATCAAGTCTCTTTCTTGCTTTAACTACTTCTCCGAATCCACCTTTGCCCAGGCGACCTTCTTCAACAAAATCTTCCATGTACCTAGATCTAGGGAAAGGACTGGTAACAGTCATAGATTCGCGTCTCTGTCTTCGTGGGGTGATTGGCAACAGTGAGGAGACGGAACCAAATTTCGAGGGGGACGCCGAATGTTCGTTGTCATCTTCCAATATGGGCGCATCCGTAGCAAGAAATTCCGATGGGCCTAATTCAACAGCACGGGGTCGCTTTTTGGGATCTGTTTTGAACATCTTGAGAACAAGCTCGTTCAAAGAATCTGACAGTGCCAGGGAGTCTGTCAAGGCGCTCGGGGCAGAATATTTCTGAACCACAGTCAAGCCAAACATCATCTGTAAGAACATAATACCAAAGTCCCAGATGTCAGTCTTTTGGGTGTATTGCAATTGAGAAGAATTGGCTATTTCAGGAGGCAACCAGTAGGCAGATTTGGCAACAGATATTGTGTCTGTTGGTTGCTTCCGTCCACTGAGGGCATGGAGCTTGTTTTGATAGCCAGCGTCTGCCAACTTGGGTTTGACTTCTCCATTAGAAGAACGGACTAGGAGGACATTACCGGCATGTATGTCTTCGTGGATGATACCCTTCTCATGCAAGAAACGAAGTGCTTCGAGCAGTTCAATGGTCCATGAACGGACTTTTTCCACTCCGAGGCTTCCAACAATGTCAAGGAACTCTTGAAGCGAGCCTTTTTCTGCAAATTCTGTCAGGACGCTTACAGTCCACGAAGTATCTGATTCTCCATCCTCATCGATTGTCTTATGAACCTTATAATCGAGCATTTCGAGGATATTTTGGTGTCTGATCGTCTTCAAAGATTTCAATTCTGACTCGAGAAGCTGCAATTGAGACTTGAACTTATTGGAATCCTTGACTTCGGTGTCCAGATTGGTCTGCTTCAGGACAAGAATAGGAATATCACCAGCACCCTGAGCTACTACTGGACGCACAGTGAAGTTTTTAGAGGTGGGGCCCTTTCGGAGGCAGATCTTACCTGCCACAACTTGGAAAATGATTTGATTGTTATGGGTGTCCATCAAAGATATTGGTTGTTCGAAAGCAAGTGTCTCGTGTGGGGCTTGGCCATTGACGCTCGTATCAATCGAAGTTTGACTGACTACCTGTGGAGGGGGTCGGTTCTTCCGACGGGACTCTTGGACTCGTTCTTTGCGTCTCTTGAGCTCATCTTGGATCATAGTGTCTTGTATACGCTGCTCCTCGAGATGCTCCAGCTCTTTCTTCTTGTTCTCCTCAGCCTTTCGGGCTTCCACCTCTTTTGCCAAAGCAGCTTCATGGGCTGCACGTTCTTCTTCTAGACTCGGCAGGACTTTTCCTGCGGCTTTGGCTTGAGCAGCATCTTCCAATACGTCTTGGCAAGCAGTCACAATCTCCATAATCATGGCTTGCTCTTCTGCAATCAACTCCTTCGGCTTAGTTTCAATGATCTTTTGTATCTTGTACCGAGTGCCTTCTAGTAGGTTGAAATCACCCTTGAGGCTCAGCAATGGTGGCGTCTTGGGGTATGTGGCAGTTAGAGTCACCGCAAGTGTAATAGTTATATCCTCGTCCGAGGACTTGATACGGATTTCGAAGCAAGGTTCCGATTTCTGCAGCAACTTGTCAGATTCGTGTTGAGGTTGCAAACATGATTGTAGTGTACCTTCCAAGCTCCATGGCTTGACTCTATCTTTTTAAAATCATCCCCATAAATCGAGGCTAGAGCAATGAGCTCGTCCTCCTGGATTTCTTCATATTGAGATTTAGGACCAGGAGAAGTCGGCTGAAGATGACTTGCTGGATTCGCTTTGGGGCCTGTGGGCCCAAGAGAGAGTGGATTGCGTTGCTGTTTCTTTCCCCAGGGATTGATTGGCGGCATGTTGATTTCTCTGTGACTGGACGAATTGAAGGCTCAGAGGATGAGAAAATCTGGTAGATCCACGCAGCCGAAGCTGCGGTCCCTTACACGCTTGGGGTTGACATATCTTTGGCGAGCTAGGAGATCGGGTTTTGGTGGTGAAAAGATATAATGTAGATTCAATAATCCATCACCGCCCGCCAACGAGGCTGAAGGCTGAGAAGCCACTAACCTTAAATGCTTCCAACCAATCATATCGAGCACCCCGCAGTGCGCTTTGAGCAAGGCGCGAGATCGGTGACTCGAAGTCACGAACACACCAAAAATTTCATTGAATTTTTTCCCAATTCCACAAAGCAGAAGATTGCTTCGAAAAAGTATTTTGGGAGTCAATTAGCCTTTAGAAAATATCCGCAGAGCTTCCAGATATTACTGTTGCCTTCAATGGCTTTCAGACCTCTGCCAGCGTCGACCATTGCCCGCGTGGTACGACCCGCCATATCCCAAACAGCTATCCGCCACTACTCAGCACCCGTTGACGGCGCAATTCCAGCAGCGAAGCAAAAGTACGTCCCTACGGGTGGCACATATCCTAAGGGGTTCCTTGTTTCAGGAACTCATGTGGGAGTGAAGGCTACGAACAAGAGCAATCCGGATCTCGCATTCCTGGCCTCAGAGACACCATGTGCTGCCGCTGCAGTGTTTACGAAGAACAAGTTCCAGGCAGCCCCTGTAACTGTGAGTCGAGAAATGCTCAAGAGAAGAAGCAACAAGGGGATCCGCTCAGTCATTGTCAATTCGGGATGTGCGAACGCTGTAACTGGCAAAGGTGGCATGGAGGATGCTGAGAAAATGGGTGCTGAAGCCGACAAATGTTTTGGCCAATCAAGTGATGGAAAAGGAGGCAGCTCGATCGTCATGAGCACCGGTGTCATTGGTCAAAGGTACGGACTTACCCTTATTTCAATTGGTTCATTTTACTAATTTTGCAAGACTTCCAATACAGAAAATACTCCTCAAAATTCCTACGGCCTATGATGGATTGGGCTCTTCACACGAGCACTGGCTCACGGCTGCTCGAGCTATATGCACTACGGATACCTTCCCTAAATTAATTTCTCGAACATTCTCGTTGCCTTCTTCTCCGTCCATCGAATATAGAATAGCTGGAATGACCAAAGGAGCTGGTATGATCCATCCAAACATGGCGACACTACTTGGGATGATCGCTACAGATGCTCCAGTTGCTTCGAATCTGTTACCATCTCTTTTGACGAGTGCTGTCCACAAGTCCTTCAACAGCATCACAATCGACGGAGATACTTCTACCAACGACACGGTAGCAGTTCTAGCTAATGGTGCAGCTGGTGGACAGGAGATCACATCTGGCTCGTCTGAAGACTATGCTGCATTTCAATCGACTTTGACTGAATTTGCGACAGATTTAGCAAAGCTCGTAGTCCGGGACGGAGAAGGTGCAACAAAATTTGTGACTATCCGTGTGACTGACTCGCCATCTGAGGTTGGAGCTCGGAAGATCGCAAGCACGATAGCAAGATCGCCTCTAGTCAAGACTGCTTTATATGGGAGAGATGCCAACTGGGGCCGTATCGCATGTGCCACAGGTTATGCTCTCCTTTCCGAGCCAGGTTTACCAGTGAACGAAGTCGCTGAGGTGGTTCCTGAAAAGATTAGTGTCTCGTTCATCCCTAGTGACGGTTCACCAGAGCTCAAGCTGCTTGTGAATGGTGAACCGGAGAGTGTTGACGAGGCCCGAGCTTCGGAAATTCTGGAGCATGAAGATCTTGAAATTCATGTGAGCCTTGGAAACGGAAAGGAGCAAGCGACTTACTGGACTTGCGACTACAGGTAATTTCGAACTACCCAGATAGAAACCATTACTAACATCGCCACAGTCACGAATATATCACGATTAATGGAGATTATCGAACATAAAAGATACCATGCAATTCGACTTATCAAGACTTGAGTATCTCGCTTTTTGCCGTACTTTCCAGCGATGCATTTGGCACGGCGTTCTCATATCATAGATCAGTACCAAAAGTATACCAAATCAAATGCTTTTTAGCTTCGCTCTTCAGAACTTGAGACTTTTTGACTTTTTATTTTCTCTTTCAGATCCCTTCTGTTTCTCTTGCTTTCCTGTTAACGCTCTCCAAGTCAAATCCGGCCAGCAGTTTATAGGCCTTACCGACCTCTTCCAGCTCCATACTGCCGATCACGTCATTAATGTTCTCGAAGCCATCCGGAGCACGCTCATGCGCCAACTGTAGAACGTGGTCCGGGCCATTGGCACGATTGGCAAAACAGATCTTCGCTGTGGGCGGCAGTCGAATATTCTGATATGTGGTCAAAGCTAGTGGGACATCGGAATCGAGTTGGAGTGCAGAAGAAAGTGCTACAGCATCAAGAATTGCTTGGCTGGCACCATTTGAGCCAACTAAAATGTCTGTCAGTTAGTTGTGCAATATTCGAGAACATAGATCTTACTGGGATAGAGCGGATGAGCAGCATCTCCGAGCAAGGTCAATCTTCCAAAGCTCCATCTGTCCACAGGTGTCCGATCACACATTGGGAATTCAGATACCTCCTTCGTTTCCGCGATCAGCTCGGGTATACTGAGAAATCCAAAAGTCCAGCTTTGGAACTTGTCTGCAAATCGATCCTTCGAGACCACTTTTCCCCAATCTGCTTGCGGAGGTGTCAAATCCGGATCGTCCTTATCACGTACTCTGAGTTCAGCAATCCAGTTGACCAGAGACTTTCCGTTCAGCTCAGCTTCACGTCCCACAGGGTAAGCGATGAACTTTTGATCTGCATGTCCAGCCCATACCATTGAGCGCCCAGTAAGGAATGGTTCTCGCTCGGAAACGCCTCTCCAGAGAAGTCTTCCAGAAAAGTTTGGCAGTCCTTCATTTGGATACAACAGGCGACGGACAGTGGAATTGATCCCGTCCGCTCCAACCAAGATATCCGCAGTCTTCGATGAGAATTTGGGAGGGATGCCGGGGTCAGAACGGCGTGTGAAGTTTGCAGTAATGCTCTTCTCAGTCTGAGTGAAAGATGTGAAGACATGGTCAGTTCGAACACAGTCTTCGCCTAATCGGTCTGTGACTGCTTTGAGTAATAAGTCGTGGCTATGTTCAACCGTCAGTCTACTAAGTGTATGACAAGACAGGAAATGGCGTCATGCAACCCATCCATTGTAACCAAACCAAACTTACAGCATGCCACGATGTATCGAAATCTGAGGTATCAAATACCCTGCCGCCTCCCCCCGTGGCTCAGACACGACATAATGTCCGAACTTATTGTAATACCTCAACTCGGCAGTTTTGATCCCAGTCGCCTCCAGCTCCGATAACAATCCCAAGTTACGTAGGACAAGCACAGCAGATGGCTGCAAGTTGATCCCCGATCCAATCGCTTTTAACTTCCTTGACGCCTCGAAAATAGTAATGTTCTTGAAGCCATCTGCTTCAAGTTGCAGCGCGAGAACGAGACCACCAATTCCACCGCCGATAATTGCAATTGATAGTTCTGAACTTATGAAAGGCATCTTGGAGAGTACGATGAAAGATGAAGATAGTTTTTGAGTTTTTTTCTGCTCCGGGAACGGAGGTTGTGGGGTAGATCGATCTAGTTGTGGGGTAGGTCAGGGGCTAGGCACCTCGGCCGGTACCTGACAGAGGGCTAAATTTGGTGAGGGTCCTTGATTCTGTCCCTTTCAAACTTTCTTGTCTTTTTTGATGTAATTGTCAATGTCGTAGTCTCTGGTTTTTCAAGTGAAGTATCTGCGACTTACAGAATCATTTTACTCCACTGGCAGCTACTGTGATTGGTTGATCACACTTCACTTGTCATGCGCCCTTTCATTGACTTGGAGCCTCGTTCACGTGCATGCGCTTTGCTAATCCTCTGTGGTTTTGACACTTTGCATGGAAGTTTTTCAGTTTATGACCGTGTACCTAGCGATTGTTCTATCGCTTCTGGTTTCCTGGCATGCCTCCTAAAGTTAGATTCAAGGATGTTGGTGTTTTGTTCGAAGAAATACCCGAGACATTGTCATTCGTTAGCTGTGTTGGCGCTGAAGGCTAGGGGATGTTTCACAAGGGCATCTCAAGACCAACTTAGAATAGGCGCCACTGCAAAGCCCTGGCGGCTATGCAGTCGCACTGCCACTCTGGAACAGCCCTACACTGCAATGTTGGAGACTTATAACAAAAGCTGGAAAGTATGTCAACGCTAAAAAATAGTTGAACTTTATTTCCAACGACTTTGACTTTATGAATTTCTCTGGCTTCGACCCTTTCTCGACCCCTATATCATTATCTCAGGCCAAGGCAGATCTTGCATTTCTTCTCCAGATTGACAATGTTCCAGCACTCATCAATAATCCCAATTTCACAGCAACTCTCGGTTGCTCGACTGGGGACCAGAATATAACATGTGTGGATGCTTGCAGCAATGTCACGAGTATATTTGATAATTGGTCTAATTTCTATACTTGCTCGTGGTATCCTGTGCTATCGGACGTTTTGGACGATGAGAATTCTACCTCGACCGCAGTTGCTTCACTGGCGACCCTTGGCATATCGGGTGGACAGGATGAGCTTTCAAACAAGACATCGATAACCATTTCAACCTGTCTATCTGACTACTGTCAATCTTCTTCGTTGTGTCTTGGATTGGATACCAAGAACTCTTGCTCTTTGAAATCTTTACTCCAGACGAATGCTTCGTCCTCGAGTCTAAATCGCGTCAGTGCCTTCGATTGTGTTCAGCATAGCGTTTGTGGCAGCATTGTTGATGTGAACCCCGATATTGGTGGGCTTGGCGTGAGTTTCCTGCTAGTTGTCTTCCTTTCCGTCTAATTAATATACTACAGGTGGTGTTGTCACTTCTAATTCAATATACTATACCAATCTTTGCGATAAATATACACTACTTCTTTTACTTGCGTCATGGCACAACTCGGAGAAGAATTGAAAAGACCACAGCACTCGAAACTATGCAAGCAACTTTGAGAAAAGCCAAGAATAATTACGACGGCCATCTATCGGCATTAACTAGTGCCTTGGTCGAGTTCCAAAAAGCACAGTGCTTCTTCGCCGTCACTCTTCAGATCGCAGCTCTAATCGTGATTCCCCCATACTTCAATGGCATGCACGAGCAAGATCAGATATTGCTCAGGCTCACAGCCGCCAATGGCTTTTCCCCTATCGTGCTCACACTAGCACATATCGATTTTCTCGGAGGCCGGAATTCATGGTATCTACTTTTCTTGTCTGGGGTTACTTTCACTCTTGGCACGGCAACGTATTGGTCGACTTCACCATCGCTAACTGGAGGTCCGATTAACTGGCAAACGACTTATCAGAATCCAATAGCTCCACTTTCATCTTGTGGCAATGTGTCACCGTTTGCTCCGTGTTTTGTCAGGAATCAGTTCCAGGATTACAACCTATGGCCGAAGTTTCAGGGGGTATCTTGGTATACGCTGACAGACACGGTTGGCCTTGTAGTCTGGGTCATCTGCCTTGGGATATTCTTATATCGTGTTACGTACAAGATATGTCATATACGCAACAACTGGGAACGAATATCGAAACACCTTACGATACTTCGGACGGATTATAAAGCATCCTTCCAGGCAATGGTGGCGAAAGTACAATCTTACAAGCAAGGAGCAAGAATCGTCTCCGTGTGTGGAAGATTCTCCGCGACTCTCAGACTCCCACAAATTTCTGGAACCATGGCTCATGTTGCTAGTCAATCAAAATCATGGGACTATGCTCAACTTGTTCTCGGCTATCTCGGTCTCATAGCACAGCTGATATCTGTCATCATCGTGCTCGCATCGTCGACCAGTTTGATAGCTACGCAAATGACTTTTGGCCAGATAGTCGCCGTGGGTATATGGGTTCCTGTCTTTCTTGAGTACGCGTATTTGGAGATAAGTAAGCAGATTCTTCTACGAGCGGGAGAGTGGATGTACTGACAAGCAATCTAGATGGCGTGGAAGAAGGAACAGAGTATCGTCTCAAAACCCCTCTTGTTGTGTCTCAACCTGCGAATGCTACCGTTGGAGGTGTAAAAACTATTACGGCAAGTGCTCAAGCAGCTGGAGCACTTCCTGCATCAACACAATCACCAGTTTCGGGGGCGATTTCTCCATGAGAAAGTATTCTTTTCTGGATAGTGGCAGGTATATCTATATTGTAGAATGAATTATTTGAACAGCGAGTTATAACAGTTGATTTCCATTGCACTTATTGCAAACACTCCCAAAGTTTACATGTCCTGGTGAGTCGGGAATTCATGACAATCAAAGTCACTACTGCGTCCAGACCTCGTCCCTTAGCCAAGTACCAACCCTGTCACACAACTCCTCCACCAGCTTCATCCTCTCCTCCTCCTTCTCCGTACCCCATTCCTTGACTTCCATAAAAGCATGACTCCTTTTCAAAAACTTCTCCCACCTCACCCCACCTTGCACCCAACCATTCCACCCCTCGCCCTTAACCTCCTTCCTCTCCTCCCCATCCACCACCAAATTCTCCGCTGTATCTTCCGCTTCCCCACACAACATATCCCACTCCGCACCCACCAAATACACGTTCCCCGGGAACACATCTCTCCCCGCAAACCTCGGACTCAACAAGGGATCCCGCCTATCCTGCCCCTGAGGCACATATCCCCAATCAACAAACATCGCCGACCACGCGACCCCATCCCTCGGAACATCCTCTCCCTTCGGTCTTCTATCTTCCTTCGTCTCTCTACTCTCCGCCGAATTCAGCACTGGATAAAACCCCACCAACCCATTAATCTTCCCCTTTAATTCCTCATCCTGACAAGCAGCAAACGCCAGATTACCCCCAGCAGAAAATCCCCCAATAGAAATTTTCTCCCCATCAATCGGTAGCGAAGAATCAGCCAATACGGCAAGAACAAGCGCCGTGGTATCCGTCACGGCGAACGGAAATTTATACGTGGGCGATTTTCTGTAATCGAGAGAAACAACAATGATATTATTCTTCCTGCAAAAAGACGAACAGAACCCATCATCTATTTCCGGGGATCCGATGGCCCAGCCACCGCCGTGGATGGAGAAGTAGACTGGGTATTTAGCGTTTGGGACCAGGGAAGGAGGGAGGAAGATGCGGTTCTTGAGCGTGGGGCGGACGGGGTAGGGTTTTACAAGGGGTGTGAGTTGAGATGATGGGGGAGCGGTGAGGTGTTTGCGGAGGAAGAGGCCGGTGTTAAGGATTGTTTTGAAGGACCAGATTGAGAGGAAGTAGATGATTTGATGGTGAAGTGGTGGGATAGGGGCGATGATTGGCTCGTCCTTGTCTTCCGGGGGAGTGGTAGTTGAAGCTGGCGCTGGAGCTGGCGAAGTGAGACTATCCATGATTTCTTGGTTTGATATTAAATTTTTACTTGTGATGAGTTCGTTCCCGAATATGAGATATGTTACGGAAACTTATCCTAGGAACATCAAGGGATACAACATCCCGATCATTAGGCATCCGCAAAATGTACCCCACGTGACGGATCATTCGATCATGAATCTGTTTCTATCAAAAACAAGTTTATTTACTAGGTATTCAACCTATCCTACAACTGCGAATGGGTATAAAACAACCATGCGCAAATTATCCTAGTCTACACATGCGCCACGCTATGAAACACCTCGAATGCCCAAATGCAAATATGATGCTCATGCTAATGCCGCTGAAAAACACTCATGCAACCTCTATTGACACATTCAAATGCAGAAACGCCCCATCTTAACGCCCTGAATGCGACAAAAACGCCAATGCCTAGCTCAGATGGAAAGACCAGGTCAGAAGCGTTGGTTGATGCGTTGGTTTATTTGCTTAACCTTAGTCAAGTCATTGTTCCAGCGACGAACTTGCTCCATCATACGGGGAAAGTACTGTGCAATCATGTTTTCACTATGGGTGATTGTTAGATGCTAACTAGTTAAAAGATTGGAAAGAGAGTGACTTACGTATAGAAACCATGCTGAGAGTCATGAGAAGAGACCAAATTATGTGCTAGTTCGTGAGCGACAACGACCCACCAGTAGGCACCTGCAATTCCTCTCCCATCCGCTAGGTTCTCCTTATGCAACTGGAGGAAATACCTATAGTTGCAAAAGATACTTCCATTGGAGTTGAAGGCAATTGTATTACCCGCGGGATCGTAGAAGATGTGCATCGTAATGGGATTGAGGTTGTAAATGGCGCATATTTCATGAAGGAGAACAGCGAAATCATTGAGCGACTGAACATTCTGGCGAAGGAATTCCTGATGGGCGGGATGATCCTTGTCGATGAACATACGGGTAGAATTCGCGGTGTCAGCTAGATAAACCACGTTTTGCGCAGAAGCTGAGTCGCAATATGTCTCTTGCTCCTTGACCACGGCGGTTGTTGGTTGCGAGAAGAGATGGTCGGAATTGTGTGGTCGGGATGCTGCGATGGCAGATGCGAGGTTCTGCGAAACTGCGGCTGGTGAAGTGACTCGTTCAATTTCTCCTTGCTTCAGCTTTTGGGGTTGAGGCTTCACACTCTTGCGCACGTCTGCAACTTCATCATGCTCTTGGGAAGGTGAGCCAGATGAACCACCGCCTAGCTGCTTTTGAAGGTGCTGGCCAAACGAGCCTAGACCACTCATGCCTCCCCGCTTCACGAAATTTGAAAGAGAAAATCGGCTTTTGTCTTGCTGAATCGGGGTTGGTGAATTTTCTGGCGAGTCAGCTCCGAAGGACCCTGGCATTTGTTGACCGTCCTCGGGATTAGCAACAGGTGCTAAAGACATCTGCTGCTGTCGTTGATTCCATAAATTCTCCTGGTGTCGAATTCGCTCCTGCTCAAGAACAAGCTGCTTTTGACGCTCCTCCTCGGCAATTCGTCTTTCGGCAGCCTTGATGCGTAGGATACGATCCACATTGTAACCACGGTTCTTCAAGTCGATCAAGCTTAGTGTCAAGAACTGCTCGAATGTGATCATGTGGCTTTGACCTGCGCGTTCAAGGATCAATTTGCAGATTGACGTGCTGATCTGATACAAGCTGGATTTTGCGCCGGTGATGTACAGCGTATGTTGAGACGAGAGACTTGATCCGGTATATTCACAAGCGGCAGCTCTCTTCTCTCTGTGTGATACACCAACGGAAGCAAGAGATCGTCGAAGTTCAATTGCGCTGACCACTTCAACCTTAAGATTCTTTTCCAGCCAACGGTAGTCGTGCTTGATCTCCTCACGCTTCAGCTCATGGAGGAAGAGCTTGGCACGTTCAAGAACATGATTCTGCATCTGAACGGCAGAGTCCTGCTTCTCAGATCGTTGGCCTAGGCTAAGTGAAGTCTTAACTAAGACACTGAGAGCAGGGGACCCAAGATCCATGTAAAAGTCTTCGAGCTTTTCATCCTCAACTGCCGTGACAAGAGAAGACTTAAAAAGCCGATAGCTGACGAAATCATCAATCTGATCATATTTATTAGCATCAGATTAGAACGGCTATGGAGGAAATACTTACAACAACAATTTCGGATGGTATAGCTAGAAGATACTGCTTGGCAGGAGCGGCATCATTGTCATCAAGATCGACACCGTTCTGGTCAACACCGGAAACAGGTGGTTGAGAGGATCGCTTCTCATTTGTATCATTGGCAGAAACTTCAGCTTCACCGAGTAGAAATCTGGCTTTCTTCATTTGCTTCCACAAATCCTTGTTTTTCCTGAGCTGGTGTTTTTCATCCGCCAGCTTTCGCAGAAGACTCATATATTTTTCAGGACTCTGCAGTACACCAAGCAATCGTGCTGGTTCGTTACAAGCGAGAGTTGCGAGCTCAATGATCGTAGGTTCAGTTTTAGAGCCGCACTTGAATAAGAAGGCATTAGCATTACTACCAAAGTCGACAAATTCAAATATTTCGCCGTAAGTTGATGAAGTACCGATGTAACATTGTCGAGGAGTGAGCATCTTGTCGGAAAAAGGCTCTCTGCGGCCAAACTTATTCGAGCCAACAGGGACGATACGAGAGTCTCCAATCTTGGCAACACTGCTCTGACCCAGCTCGTTGAGACGACTTGATAAGTATTCGAAGACTTTCGTGGCTTGAGTCTGGTCGGTGGGCGGACTAGCGAGGAGTCTATTGACACATTCAAGAATGTTTGGATTAGCCGTGACGTCGAACTTGTTAGCGTGGATATGAAGGTCTTGTCGAAGAATGTTGAAGCCAAAAACTTCACAGTTTGGATTCGTAAAGCATTCTGTGGGTGAAACGACCTGCACAGTGGAGCCAGAGGCCTTCTCCAAGGGCAAGAACTTCTTGTCTGTAGTACCAATACGAAATTGGTAATACGCGTTATTGTGGTGATTGGCGATGAAATAGTCCATGGCTCTGTGCGGGCCCGGGGTTGGAGCCTCGCTCGCCATCATCTCAATGAGTTCTGGCACCGAGGGGAATGGTCGCAGGCCGAGTGCATACAGAAATTCTCCGGTAGCGGATTTGACACGATAGCTACCAGGAGGTCCAGGCCAGCGGAGAATAGGAAGCCCAAGTTGCCGTAAATCATCCTTTGGCTCAAACAACTCTTTGACACTGTACTTTCTCGCAGTACCCTTGGTTGATTCCATACCCTTGGGACCAGCTTCCGCAGGGCAGAATTTAGCATTTCTTAGCTTCTTCATGTCTTCAGCTGGGATGTCATCATGGACCGAGGCAAGGTATTTGAGAAGATCCATGAAGCGATTGCCGTTTGCGTCTTTATCTGCACTACCCTCGGCTGGAGTAGCAAGCAAGCGATTGAAGACAGTGTCGAGTTCCACAGTCTTTCGGACACCGAGTTCAACTAAGAAAGGATTCTTCACACCGGTGATGGTAATGACATTTGGGAGATCATCAAACAGCTTCACGTTACCGAGATATGATTCTCCAGGCTTCTTGATGCCCAGCTTGCTCGGGACAATTGCCTCTTTCTGAAGAACAAGAACGACATCGTCCCTAGATTCTTGCTTCAATCCACTCCAACCCTTGGAAAGAATTTGAAGAACATTAGCTGCAAATGCGGTCGTCTTCGTGTAGTCTTGCTCCGCTGGTCGACTCTTATTCGTCTTGACTAGGTGTCGGAGCCAATCATCAATTTCCAATGATTGCCAACCCAAGGCTTGCATTTCATGAAATTGAGAAGCTCGAGAAAACTCAAAGGGGATGCAGGTTGGCGGGATGGGCACATCAGCCGGAATCTTCTTCACCTCGAGATAGTTGTTGATCGTACCAAGAGCAATGACGTTCCCGTTGCCAGCAGCATCGCTAGTTGTTGCAACAGCCACGTCCAGAAGAGAGTGAATTGTACGTGCATCGATCTCGTTTTTCGCAGCCTTGTGGCTGATCCATTTAATAAATTGGGAGAGTTGATCGCCGCTTAGAGCTTTGGCTGACAACTCTTTTCTCACGTCGTCAGTGGTGATCATGGAGATCAAATCAAAGTCAACAAGCTTCTGAATGAAAGAGTTCTTCACTAAAGCCTTTGGAATGACGGGAATTCCCTCGACAAAACCGCTGAAGTCTTCTGTTGCTAAACGCACGTGTCTGTTGGATAACACACCGCGTGTACTGAAAATCTCGACATCAGGATTCGAATTGGCGACCCAAAAGGCTTCTTCGATCAAATGCCGAACATTGGGATTCGGTGTTGCATCTGTGAAAATGAAGGTATCCAAGATATGCAAGGCTCGTGGGGTGAAGTGATCGATCTCCACCTTCGAAACTTTACTACCACGTCCGGCACGCTCGACAGCTCGCTTGATATCGTCAGAAAGGTCTTTCATCTCATTCATGAAGGCCAATCGCGCCATGATACCAGCAGCACGAAGCATCTCTTGGTTCCATGTTCTGACCCATCTCGCATTAAGATCGATCGACTCCCGCTCGACGGTAGGAATGACTGAGGGAGCTGAAAGATGCATACCAGCGCCCGTAGTTTGGTGCGTTGGAAAGCCAATGAATACGCGTCCGCCGGGATGTTTGCCTGGGACGACGGAGGCAAATATATCAACACCTTTTGCAACTGCGTTTTCTTCAGTCGAGGCAACGGCTTCGTCATAGGATGCGGTGAGAAGAGCTGGTCGAGTGATCCTAGGAGGTGGCTTCTTCGTGGCACGTTCAAGTTCTTCCGCGAATTGCATGCTTACAGATGTCTTGACAGTTGCGGTGGTGACTCTGAGGAACACACTCACAGTCGTGGTGGCGGTAACATCCTCAAGCACGATCTCTTGAAGCGCCTTTTCTTCCTTCATAGCCTTTGTCTTCGTCTTATCGTGTCCCGAACCAATCGTGATTCTCGAGAAGAAGGACTTTAGTAAAACCCCAGTATCATTCGTGCTGCTACCGTATGCACCGTCGAAACTGCCAGGCATCTTTGGTGTGGTAACTGAGGTAGCAGGCTTCCAACCAACAACATTCATGAAAGTAGCATCCATCTGCACACTCTCTCGTTCCAAGCTCTGGACGGTCATGATTCCTTCCTTAGTCGCTGTGTTTATACTTCTGGGAATTGGGACTTCGACGCCTGGCGAAACTTTCTTCTGCAGTGATATGATCTTCGAGTCGTCTACCCATAGCTCAATGGCCTGCAGGGCCACAAACGTTAAACTAGTGGCAAGGAATTGGGAGATTGAGAGGAGGTTCGGCATAGGAGTGGTTGTATTTCGGTAGTCAAGGACGAAGTTGGTTTCTCGACTCGTCTGCTCGGCGGGAAGATTGGTCTTTCTGGTGAACAGAGCATTTCCTTTCCAATAGAAGGCCATAGCTTGGTCCCCAGAGCTCACGAACGGCTCTTCGCAGTCTGCAAAAACACTGTAGAACCCCACACCGAACGCACCGATCTTCGTCTCATCTGGGTTGCCTTCAGCGATTCTCTTCAGCCGGGTCCAGTCATTGTCGCCAAATGGCAGTCCATCATTCGTAACCACCAATCGCTGCAATGTATGATTGAGAAGTACATGCTTGAGGATCTCTGAAGCGTTCGTCGTGGTTGGGAGAGGAATGGTAGATGATGGGATCGACTCGAATTTGATCTTCACCCTCGAGGCCTGAGCATCTGCGGCGTTTTGAATCAGCTCTCGTAGAGTTGTCCATTCGCCCGAGTATCGCGCAAGCACTTTGTCGATCAAGGCTCGAGTATTGACAGTGACTGCTTCCTCGTCGTTGGCACTCTGAAGGGCAGTCGCCCTCAGTTTCGAGAAGTCCATGGTGGAGGTGGCAACGTTTTGCCCGCGTGTTTGCGCACTTGGAACGATTGTAGAAAACAATCAGTCGTGTTATCTCATACCAGAGACGTGAAATAGAAGGCACAAAGCCAGATCAATGTGAGGAGAGGGTTGTTTTCAGAAGGAAGAAAGAGGTCGCAGCTGGATGGGAAGGCTGACAGAAGGCTATGTGCGGGACTCCACAGCATTCGTGCCCGAATAAACGCTACAATTTTTAGAAAAGGAATCGTGGGTCGACGATGTCATTGGGAACTTTCCGTCCTTAGTCCGGAACATTCTATAAGCTTAGTGGCGAGAATAAGGCCGTCGAGGCATCAATGGAAGTGCGTGTAGATGGAGATGTCGTTGAGACACTCGGACTTAACATACGGGCTGTCTAACCGAAAACCAGGAAACCCGCAGTGTCTCAAATTACTTCGCAGATATGGCAGTATCACGTCAGGAGATTGTTTGAGAACTTGGGTTCTTGTGAAAGTGTTTATAAATCTATAGGACTGCATGTTTTGTGCCTTTGAAGGTAGCATGCCATGCATAACACCAAACGCCGTCGCTAAAGTCAAGACAATAGGGGTAGCCTATAGCTTTCCAGTTACTCTATGAGTATCTTCGTGCCCTGTGTTCCCTTGATGCAGGAGACCGACTCCGTCGAGATCTCTCGACGTATCTTCCTCGGTCTTCACGGTCTTTCGTCCTACCATCCGGACTCCTGCTTCGATATCTGCGTTCTCGTCTTTCAGGACTACGACTGCGTCTAGGTCGTCGACCTTCCTTGTCATCTCTATCCTCTCTGCCATGCCTACTATGCCTATCACCGCTTCTTGACCTATGTCTTCGTCGATCCCCACTTCTCGATCGATGTCGGTGTTGCCTATGTCTCCTCTCTCTGCTCGAACGTCTCTCTCTACCATCATCCTTCCTCTTGCCGTCTCTCTCCTTCTCCCGACCCTTCTTAACCAACCCGCCCTTCTCATCCCCATTAATAGCTGTATCAATAGCTTCCCTGCCGTCCAGCTTGCCTACGAAGTCCCCAAAACCTTTGCTTCTCCCCTCTCCCCCACCATCTTCCTCCTCACCAACCCCAACCTCTTTAACCATCCTATTCACTTCTCCAACACTAATAGCATTCGCCCCACTGACGTTCCTATCCGCAACAGGCAGACCCAAAGCCCTCGCAAGCGCATCTTCTTCCGCCTCCTTAATCCTCCTAATTTCCTCCTTCCTCTCCCTAACGCTCTTCTGCTCAGCAGTTTCTCCATCCTCCCCAGGCGTATCGTCACCTTTCGCATACCATGACAGGTCTTTGCCCTTCTGCCATCGTCCGACAGGTGCCATGAGAGAGTGCCCGAGGTAATTCTCGCGGTGCTGGGAGGTTTGGACTTCATCCCAACTGAAATTGACCCCACCTCGAGACCCGGATTTGCGGATCGAGGAGAGGAGGTCCATGATTGTAGATGTGGGAGATTGGCAGCAAATTGATTACACGGTCGAGCCTTTGGGTTCGTTTCGAGGTGACGATGTTGTGGTCGAGCTGCGAATGAGAGGTAGCGGGGCTGGTGATTTTCGAGCGAGCTCCATTAAATAATTACGGATCACGTGATAGACATAATCTCCAATTAAAGGCAATGTTTGGACATACAAGTAGGGTAGAAAGTGAGATTTAGAAGTAAATGTACCCTTGATTGAAGAGTCATGTCGAAGAAAGTGGCGAATGTATGTCAAAGTTGTTCGTCACAAGCACGCATATTACCTGAGACTGCCTACCTACCTAGGTACATGTAAAACTATCATCTTACTATCCTCAATCTCAACATAGATGATCTACTGCAGAGCATTTCATGTGGGAGACATGGATCATGTTATACTTTTGTTTCATTTGATTTGTCTCCAAAAGTACTTGGTCATTTCTTCAGTCCGCTACATCAGTATGGTGATAACGAACAGGCCAGGCTGCAACACCGCCTAAGAACAGTTTTGCCTCCGTAGACATAGTCTTTGGATCAGGTAGTCTTTCCATCTCCGAATCAAACTTGAGCTCCCACTCTTCAACAATCTTTTCCATTTCTGTTTGCGTGAGATCTGGCTGCCGAAGGCGCACATCGATCTCTTCATAACATGCGCTTATCTGACACAAAGACTTATTGATGGTATGAAGAATGAAAGGATTCCCCATTGGAGATATATCAGACATTCCTTCTGCTTTCGAAGCATGATCCGATTCTGTCAAGGTCGTGCAACTAAAACCAAAAACAGAAGTGAGTTTGAAAAAACGTCGTTCCCTGTTACGGGCAGATGCCATTGCGTCCCAAACTCTGGTATGGTCAAATTCACAGCAGTTCAGTGGAAATGGCAATTTTCCTTTCAAAGCACCGTCTTTGCGAGATAAGATATCATTGATCCACAGTTCTCCGCCGAGTTCTGAATGTAGGGCCTGAAGATATCGATTTGCATCATATGTTCTTGAGATATAAGCAATCTGGTGGAATGCCGCGCGGGCATGATATGGAGTGTAAACGATCAGCTTCTTTGACTTGATCTCCGAGAGCTTGTCGGCACAATACCTAAAGCAATCGACACGCTGTACCATGTAAGAGCTGAGGCCACCGGGAATGGCCCACTTAAGCGAAACTCAACAAATGAGACCTTATTTACCAAAAATCATAATTTTTTATTCTTCTTATGAATCTCTGTGAAAATGGAACTTATTATTAATTAATAGTAGCCATACCCTTGTACTTAATTACATCCTCAATCTTACAAGTCAATTGCTCAGTGTAGTGGCGAAAGTCACGTGGGTCAACTCGGTCCCATAGCTTTTGCAAC